AGAAAACAGTCAAGTTGGAGAAACAAAAATATTGTCTTACTAGATAAAGAATTACCAAGAGTCGAACATTCTTAGAAAATCAAAAGAGAAGTTTAGTCAAGTAAAAACCAGCCATGAAAACACCGTATTAAGTATGCAGGGTTCAATTGAATTTTAATTGCAATCAATGCATACAAAAATTGCACTGACCTTACTTTAATTCTCAGTTGTTAATTAACAATAATTGTTTCCGCATGCTAGTGAATTCAGTTTAAATTTTATCATCAATGACTTCATAAAATAATGAGAGTAGGTCACAAAAGATGATTCTGATCCGCTTGATCAAAGTAGCTTGCAAATTTTTCATTAATTACAACAAAAAATTTAAAATTTTTTGCAAAATTAGATAAAATAATATAAAAATCATCACATTTATACAAGTTGACTTGATTCATCTGCAACTATCCTCTTGCACTCAAAAATTGACCCTCTAGGCAAATAATTTTGGAACATTGATTGCAAAAATTTTTTACCAAGCTTTAATCCCTGTTGTTTTAATGATATGCCTGGTGACCGTGAGAAGACACATTGAACACTCACACTTTCGAAGCTCAGCTGCACACAACAGCAGCAAAGTAGGCAGGGGCAAGGACCATGTCCTACACCAACTTTTTACCTGAGAAATATAAAACTTAGTATTAAATCCAGGACAATATTAAACAACTTCAGTTCATTTTAGTTATTAATACTAGTTAGACTTGAAGTTGTTGTAGTGTCTTTGAAAGTAAACTGGGGTGACTTGGATCATTGGGTATAGGTGCAACTTGCACTGTTTGGACATTCAAGATAAGAAAACCTAATATATACTCAAAAAGTTTTTGCCTTAGAAAAATTGTGTTGATAGCTTTTGATGTACCAGTACCATGAGATAACCTACAGGTGCAATAAAGAGTTATATTTTATATATTTACTATTTGAATATTTGTATCACGAAAAATTAAGCACTAAAAATGGTCCAGGTCACCCTGTAAATGGTACAAGTCACCCCACAAATGGTCCAGGTCACCCCATTTTATGGTACATAAATAAGATAACATTTGATTCCATGTAGAATACCATATATTTTCTAATCTGACATCAAAATTTTGGCATAAACATATATGTATATACCGTATACCTATATATGTGTAAATATAAATAGAACACTAATAAAAAATGAATTGTTATTAACAAATTTACAGAGCACTAACAAAACCTAATGGAATGCGATTTAGGGAGGACATCGTGGATGCAATTTTTATGAGATGGCAAACTTCATCAAGTCAATTTTTCAAGTATATTTATATCTTTTTAAATAGCTTGTATATAATATAGATGTATTAATTGAAAGATTGATGCATCACTTGTTAAGGACAAGTCAAGTACTTAGTGGCCAACTTGCAATGATCAACATTTCAATAACATTTTATTTGGTCTCAGCTACACATAGTTAGAGGAAATCTGTAAGAAAGAAACTAGTTCTTGTAAAAAGCAACTACCATTTCAACCCATTCTAAAAATACAAATTTCACAGAGATTTGTAAATTAGTGCAAATGGCTTAGAAAAAATCTGTCGTAACATGCAGATTACATGAATAATTATGGCACCAACAGCACGGGGGCAATAACTGGAGGCTTTGCCAGAAACTTATTAAACACTTTCTTTTGCTGCCTTTATTTTTATGCAATGAAATAGATTTCATTGTGAATGATTATCTAACCCCAGACTAGACTAGCTACATGTGCTCCAGAGGGCACAATTAGGACAAAAAAGTACTATTGAAGCCTGCACCACCCAAGTCTGAGTGTGGGCTAAGTAATCTTGCCACAGTAATGTTCAGTATACATAGAATATAGTTATGAATTGGTACCTATATCATAAGTTTTCTCAATGTGACTATACACATTCATTTTTGTGCGCAAGATTCATTGTTTTCATTAACAACAACATTCACTAAATTACTGAAAGTTAATTATTGAAGTACCATTCAAGACTTGTTTAAAAGAATTCTCATTCAAATTTCACACAAAAAAGTTACTCTTTATACCTAATCTTACAAGAGCACCAAGCTACAACTGGTCTTACTGTCCTACTCCTACATCCTGTCTAGCAGCCAGATGAGGGAAAATATGGAAAGGGGTAGTGTAGCAATGAATATATACACATATGCCTCAATTAGTATTAGATGGCAGAATTTACTTGTTTATACAGGTACAATTGATGACCAGAAAATTCATTGATTTATATTATCAAGGAGTGGAACTTTTCTTCAGATGACAGTATATTAAAGGCAAGTTTCTGGAAGTAGCTTTTGTTCATTAACGACATTTCGAATCTATTCAAAATGCTGTAAATAAACAAAAGCTACTTACAGAAACTTGCCTTTTAATCTACCATCATCTGAAGAAAAGTTCCACTCCCTGATAATATAAAATATAAATCAATGAATTTTCTGGTCATCTATTGTAGATATATATGCCTCAATATAAATAGACATGGACATTGCCACATGAGTCACTAGCCTTCAATAAAAATGATCTATTCTATTAATGGTACTAAACAGTAAATTTTTAGCAAGATAAAAACATTTTTCAAACTTTGTAGTGTCATTTAATGGTATATATATAACTAATAAAAGATCCTGGGTTTTTAGAATATTTGAACTATGAGCCATGATCTAGGAATGAAACATGCACACAAGTCACAACCAGGCATGGAAAATTGGGCAGAAGCCACCTCTGAATTACCAAAAACGCAACTGAATCTGGCCAATTTCACTGGTTCCTATGGCCTATTCTTAACTTTTTCAGCAAAAAATAAGAAAAGTGGCCTATTTTTACCTACAATTTCTGTAAATCACCAGTGAAATTATTGTTTTTACCTGCAATTTCAGGAAATTTCTGGCTAATGTTCCAGAAAGGATCACAAACAGACATGCAATATATATCTATGTTTTGAGCCATTGCTAGAGATTTCCTGCCATTCCTTGAGCTGTAGGATTCCTGTTAGATGAATTTTCTCATATATATAATTTCTCACAACTTACAAGAGTACCGGTATATGATCATAGGTTTGTCATAATATAATGCACTTCTTGTATAACAATGTTTTCAGCTGCTTAAACCATACAAATCATAGTTTTCTCTATTATTATTATATATTATACATATATACTACAGCTTTTAATTTTATTGACAAGTGATAAGTCAAGTACCGTAAAATGGGGTTACTTTGACTCCCGGGGTAACTTAGACCACTTTTTGTTTTTTCAACAAAAACCCCCAAAACTCAAAAACTATTTGACATTTAAAAATTTTGTCAATGGCCATTAAAGGCCTAATACTGAGGCTACGTAAAACAATAGACAGATTTAAAAAGTTTGCATATCTAATAGGTTAAAAAAATTAAAAATGTGACCCATGAAAAAGAGCTATTATTTAAGGGGAGCGTCTCCCCTAAAATTGAAAATTTTCACTTATTCGGTTTTTATACTCATTTTAAAGCTGTCATTCTGCCCTATCTAACAGTACCACTGCCATATCTGTGCGTTGATTTATGATTTCACGACATTTCATGAAAGGGGGGCGGGTGGGGGAGTTCTACAAGTAATTAGATAGGAACTAATTAGCTGCTGAGCTCTTTAAATATAGTGTCTACTCTAGTTGTGTTGCAGTTACGTGTTTAGTCTCATCTTAAAGCTGACATTCTGAGCTATCCAACGGTACCATTACCATCTCTGTACGTTGATTTGTACGTTCACGACACTTCATGAAAGGGGGGCGGGGGGAGAGTTCTTTCAGTAATTATATAGGAGCTAATTCGCTGCCCAGCACTACAAATACAGTGTTTTTTTCACGGTATTATATATCACACATATATACTAAAGCTTTTAATTTTATTGACAAGTGATAAGTCATGAACCGACTGTGCAGTATACATCTGCCAAGCCAACTCATCATCATGCAGTGTGGAATTGTGGACAGGTAATATATTCTCACATTTATATAACAAAATAGATCAAAAGGCCTACCATACCATGTTACACTTCCTACTGCATTATACGCACCTGCAACTAATCTAAGCAATAATACCTGGCTATTATTGCATCTGATTACTAACTGCAATGCCAAGAAATACACTGAGCTCACAAGAGGCTGCCACTCTTATGATGTCGGGCAATTTACAGAATGCATGTTGATCTCTGTGATGCCATTCTGCCATCACAGAGAATATATATGCAAATTCACAAAAAAAACATTGAATTTCATCCTTGCAGTGGAAGGTTTAACATAGTAGGCCTTCCAATCCATATTGTTATTTAAACTTGGGAATATATTACCAATTCAGAATTTTGCATAAGTTATCATATCATTAACTAATTCAACTTGTGCATCATTAATATTTAATCAGAGATCAAAACACTTCTTTTGTAAGTAGCTAAGCTAATATTTTTCTACCAAGCAAGGGACTTTACAGGATTTATATTGAATACACAAAGTATCATTGATAAATTTTACCTAAACCAACCTGTCAATCCTATTATTCACCTGTCAATCCTATTAAGTATTAGAAATTTCAGCAAGACAATTAAACTTAAGGTATATTTCATTTTGATAAAAATTCCAGATATATTTACCAGTCAAATTAAAACATAACCAATCTGTATGATATGAATTGTTAGCAAATCAGCCTAATATCAATTAAAAGTCTATTGAAAAATTAAAAAGACAGACAGTAGATTCCACCCAAAGTTCCAAACTGTTCTTAAATATTCTTAACTTCCTGCTCAGTGCTCTCTTGGTTTAGGCTTTCATTAGCACTTCAGTTCAGTCCTTTCAAACTCACAATCAGCAAATGTTACGTCAAATTACTTTTCATGAATTCTATAGTCTATACTACCGGTAACAATATAGTTTGCAACTTGCAAGGATAAATCGGAGCGAAAATGTGCCAATGAACGAGTTTCGTTCTGCAGACTCACCTGTTTGAATAAAGCTCAGCAGCCTCAGCGTCAGCAGGTATCTATGAAGCACAGGAGTTGAAGCTAAAAGCCTGCCCATAATACGCCTAAGAAATGATTTATCACTCAATTTCGATTATCAATCAAATTTTGTATACATGTAAAACTCAGTAAAAAGAAACAGCAGCGAAAGTCTTTTGTTACTAATTAACTACATAGTATACTCAGAGGTACCATCACGAGATAGAATATTATGAAGTAAATACTGTACAATTCAATGAAACTATATTCATTTTAGATTTAACAAAAGTTTAAGTTGACAATTGTGCCATAAACTTGTGTTTAGTGTAGCAAAATTGTATCGAAAAGCGCAAAATGTTACCCGAACTCGCGCAATTCAACGCACACACGGGCAGCCATTATTTACTACTAGTCGCTCAGAGCCTCAGACGAGAAACAATTGGAACGCAGAAGCGATTGAGCTCATTTATCTAACACACGTCGAATCAATAACTTTTAATGTAATTGTCAGAGTACTACGATTTTTTTATTATAGAGCTAATGATAATTCTATTGTACTGCACTTGAGAATTTATTCATTATTGCCTTTTTTAATTAATATTTTCGTACTTTCAGCTTGGACATCCTATTATCAGAATTGCCAATCTCACATATGTTCTGGTTCACATAGAACAAGTTTTCGAAAAAAATAATTCAATAACTTTCCTGCTTTAGTTTCTCACTGCGAAGAAAAGTTGCTATTATTTGTAAATTACAAATGCTCACCATGGCAAAGGCTCACACATCAAGTGTGGTAGGAGTTAGTTTTTATTTTATTTTTGCAAACAATATAAGCTCGCATTTGGAATTGTCGCTTCCTATAAAGTTACATTTTAAAAGAAAGCGGCGTAAATTTGAACCTCATCATCGAGATTCTTATTCTAAGTATTTTAATGGCTGATATGGAGTCCGGTAGCTAAATTTGCTAAATTGAGACCATGTGATGTAATAGATGTGAACACTAAAAACAGTGTGACGAACGTAGAGAGATATATATTTTAGATTCTGTTTATATATCCTCATCAACTTACGCCTGACCAACTGTCAAATGCAAAAAAATGCAGGAAAATGCTAATATTGATAATTTATATAAAATATTGGTTGTTCTGATGTTGTCTAATGAAAATCTAGGTCATAAATTGCTGGCATAAATCGAAGGAACACATGTGAAGCCATACATACCAGTTAAAGAAAATTAAAGAATATAAGGATCCCATTCATTGCGGGCAGTTTAATTTGTGAATTTAAACTGTATCACTAGCTTACTTTTGAACTTCATCATGTAAGTGAAATTGACCGGAGATGTAGCGTGGGTAATAGAATAGAATAGAAGTAACTGTATCATTGAGATTAGATGAGAGCTAAAGAAGAAATGAAAAGCTGTGTCACGTTTCTTCAACTCCACCTCAAAAAGATTGATGACAAAGCAGGAAAGTCCAGCAGCTATCTCAATCAATCGTCAGTTATGAAAAGATCGGGTTCCAAAGGCCGGATCCCTTGTGAATCAAGTCACGAAAAGTTCAAGAATCGGCAACAGGCCATGGGCCTATTACTTCAACGCCGACACTTCTATTCTATTCTTTAGCTCTCACCGATCAGTCGCGACGGTAGCAAAGTTCAGCATCAGCGTATCAGGATAATTAAAACTAAAGCTTTGCTACAAAGATGAGACGCCCTTAAAGTAGTCGAAGTTTGCCATGATCGGTGAACTGTTTGTCCTGAGTATTGTCGAGAACATTGTTTCCTACTTGAAGGGCTCGGTTCCATGACCTAATTGATATGTAAGCGATTCTGTCCAAAAGGATCCTGTAAGTTGAAAGTTTGACACAACAATCCAAATTGAGTCGGTTCTCTTTTTCGAATAACATTTAGTTTGAAAATGTTAATAACCAAATAAGAATTGTAAATATTCTTTCATTTCCGTAAAATTCGATGGCTAGGTTTCCGAGATTGTGCCTTCGTGGCCGGTGTAATCCATGGTATTGTATATATTGAGGCATTGGAATCCATCTTCACTGGCGGATTTACTATACTTGAGACTAACAAACTTACAAATAATATTTAAAATCGTTGTTACTTTTCTACTTCATATTTTAAGCTGTTTTGATCATTAAAGAATTTAACAAAAAAAGTTATCGAAATGTTGATATCATTGTGGATCATATCTATAACCCTATAATCTCGTTTATCAACCAACGTATGAGTCTTAGACGACAGTGACAGACCAAAATTCCACTCTACTCGCCTCCTAATTAGCTCGCTGGATTTAATTTCCAACGCAGACCTGGTGGGGCAGCGGGTTAAACAAGCACTGTTTGGATACTGGCGAAGAACCAAATCTTTGCGTTTAATTCTTGGAACGGGAGCGCAGCTCCCGTTCTTTTTAATCTCTTTATCTACCAAAATCCTTTATACGATTCTTTAGCTGAAACAACTAAAAAAATCACGAAGGGATTACGCGAGAAGGGAAGACAAAATTCGCTACAAAATAACCGTGAAACAAGCATATATGGAAAAAGCCCGATGAAGGAATTCTAGCATGCGGTAGTTGGAAGAAACCGATGCCTCCGGTAAATGTTTCAACAGGAAAATCGTTCCATATTTGAACCAAATAAAACATGTTTTTTGTTAGTTGGTCCCATATAAATTTCAGAAAATTTTATTTCCGTCCAAGTTCTGAGTACAATAGGGAGCGTAGCCGTGCACCACCAATTTTGTGCACCACTAAGCCCTGAATCGAACGCCTTGGCTCTCTCCGGACCTACACCAATCAGCCGTGTACCACTCGGCTCTGTCCTTTTCCGGCCTTGACCACCACCTGTCGTGCACCACCAGGCCGCGGATCGAATGACTTCCAGGAATCGTTAAATTAAGTAATTTTACGTTCACCGCATCTGAGGTTAGGTTTCAGATAGCATAGTTCTGTTCCAAAATTTATCGTCCTTCGACAAGTGGCCGTTCGACCCACGGCCTAGATACGGACGGCTTGAAGTGTTGAAGGCTACGTTCCGGAAGGCAGGAATCATGATAGTCCATTACATCCAGGACAGTGGTGGTCTTTGGCAGGCGACCCCTTGGAACGGGGCCAATAGTGCGGGCTTAGTCTAGCAGAGACTTATTCTACTATGAGCGCACTTACTCTTTGCTAAGACTTGCAGAACGAGCGTACTTAATCTTTGCTGAGACTCAGAATGAGCGAATTTTGTCTCTGCTAAGGCAGGTTCTTTCGATGTGGGACAATCAGTATGAAAGGCAGGTAAAGGACAAAAATACAACTTGAACAAGTAAGAAAAAATAATGAATCAATACAAGTAAAATAGATGATAAGAATATCCATAGTTCGGTCAGAACAAAGTAAGTGACAAAGCCTCGGATGAAACCTCCGAACATAGAACACTTTGTTCAAACGAGTCTTAGTTTTGGTCAATAAGACATTGAAAATAAGATTGTGGGAATGCTAGGTTTAATTGCAAGAAAACTAATACTATCGTTGGAATGCTTTATTTAATGAAAAAAAAAAACTAATGCAACACATCCGAGTTGCCCAATAATTTGAAATGGATGAAGAGAACAAAGAAAAATAATCGCAAGCTGAACAATATTCTCAGGAAATTTTTTTGGCATGAGATGCTGCAACGGAAAACAAATTAAAACTAGTTAAGTCAATGACATCTTGAATCAAAAGAACTTCTAGACACGGAGTAGTAGGGATGAGATGTACTAGCTACATTGATGGCACATAGAAAAAATACTCCCATAGCTAGCAAACTAGACTGACACGCAGGTGCTATCCAGGCTTGCTATAAATATAGTACATATATTTAGGTTAGCGATATATATAGTACAAATATGATATATATATACTCCACTATGGCTAACTTACAGCAAATGTCATTACACATGATGATGGTGCGTACTTTTTTTGCTATGTTCATACGTCATCGTTCTGCGTTATACGCAGCGTGTGCGCTCACTTCTAGCGTTCAAGTTTAAGTCAGCGTGAGTGTTAGTTCTAGAGTTCTAGTGTTCTAGTTGAAGTCAGCTTATGTAGTCAATTCTAGTGCTGCAGTTGATTGAAGTCAGCTTGTATGGTCAGTTCTAGAGCTGTAGTTTCAGTGGCAGGTCGGCACATGAAAAGAAACACCGTGTCACCGTTTTTATTCTAATTTAACGCTAGAAATCCGTAAAACATCAGATAAAAACGGCGAAACAGCTTATTTTCACGGGGCGGCCGGCCACTAGAACGCCAGTGGGGCAATTTTTTCTAACAGTGTATAGTAAATGCAGTTGTCAAGTTAACGAAGTGAAACTTAATCTGAACCTGGGGCCATACTTTCAAAACTCGTCAAGTGAACGTAATTACTTACGCTCTATTTTCTTGTCTATGATTAAGTGAACGTAAGTACTTACTCTCTATTTTCTTGTCTATGATTAAGTGAACGTAAGTACTTACGCTCTATTTTCTTGTCTATGATTGGTGGATTTTGCTCAAAAGTCCGTCAATGATTGGCTGATGAACTTACGATCTCTTAACTTTTTTTGAAAGTATGGGCCCAGCAGGACACCAGATGCCAAGTAGCATGCCCCTTATTCTGCACATAGATCTATTTTAGAGAGATAATTTTATCACTAACATTTATAAAACATAGAGCTAGTGTAATTTAAACTTTCAAGTTATAGATTTGTTTCAGTTAAAACATTCAACACTCACGCGGTTGATCACTTGCGGTCACAAATACTAACAACTGCGCAAAATTCTCATTAACTTATCAAATTAATAAGTAAGATAGGCAATATCATAAAATATAGGTTCTGATTATGCTTGAATAATAGCTATTATATTGCCTTACGTGCATGAATTAAAGGGTGAAAAATAAAGATTAGGAGTGTGGTTTATCTTCAGTAAATCCTTGATTAATGCAGGAGTTGCACCATCATATGAATAATAAAGTACATTTGTTCGTTGTAATTTCCCCAAACAACTTCGGACAAAATAAAATTATAATCAGTAAATATATATATAAAATAAAATTAATAAAACAGTAAATAATCTACGGTACCGAGCGACATCGACACACAACGTCTCAGAGTAAGACTCTAATCAAATTTTTATTCCAGGCACATTTGACGCTCACAAGCACTGAATCCATTAGATTAATATTAATTGATAAGAACAGCCCACATCTAATAACATAAGTGAAACACAGCTCTCCCTAGAAATAAACTGCAAAATCAAATCTAGATGAATTCACATACATGGCCCATATCCACAACACAATTCGACGCCATAAGCACTTGATTGCAAACGAAATTCACACAGCCAAGGCAAGAAAAATCCAGAGCACACACAAATGAACCTTGAAGGATCACACATAAAAGGATTAAGATCAAACACATATAAAACTTTTTCGTAGGTATACGTCAGTTCCACGCTTCCATTCCACTGTTAATTTTGTCCCAATATTCAAATGTTTTTTCTTTTCATTCAATATTTCTATTTTGCCCAACAAAACAGCCACTCTTTCTATTTTCCTGTTAAAACCTTTCTATAGGGTCCTGTTAAAATATGGCCTTCATGACACGTGCCAACATAAAATATACAAAATAACGTGAAACAAACTTAAATACCTAAGAACAACGACGAACTGTCACGATGTATAAAACCCAACGACTAGACAACGTTTGAAATGTTAACTAACTCAAGTAGAATTTTATGCTGGGAAGGCCCCACGTGTGTAGTGAATAAGGTTCTATAGCGACATGGTCATCTAATAACTCTAATAACAAATGAAACAATTTGCAAATCATACATCAGGACTACAAATTATGTAGTTTTCGAAAAAAAAACGGTAGAATTTTTTTTTTAGATTTTTTCGAAACGAAAACAGTAGAAAAGAATATATTTGTCGCACAGCCCTGGTATAAGTCTTCACAAAATATCTTGCGTTGTGCGGTGCAGAGAGAACACTCTATTCACTAGCTGCAGCGATCGTTAAACTAGCATGAAGGTTAGATGGATAAAATTCGGATAAAATTCTGAATAAATAATATTTTAGCTTATCACGAACGCCAGCTTTGCGCGAGTAAAATTTGTTACTGTGATTGTGTTGTTTTGCGCGATGAAGAATCACAAAATTAAAGGATTATAAAGCGAAGTACTCATTGGAAAATAATTAGTACTGTGTCTTGTTTCAACAAAAAACTTTTGTGAATCCTTCATTTAAACATCAGGAGTACCAACAACACGAGGGGAGCCAACATCTTGCCGTTAACCGCGGAGCGTACGCCGTACGTCTGCAAGAAGTTCAAAAAAAACATTAAAACATTCCCAGCTTTGAACTTCATAAAACTGATTTCAAATAAATATTGAAATTTTTACTCACAACTCAGCTATCTTAAAAATAATTCGGCTATTATTCAATATAGCCATGAAAACATTCCCAGCATTGAACCTCATAAAACTTATTTTAAATAAATCTTGAAATTTTTACACATAACTCAGCTATCTTAAAAATAATTCAGCTATTATTCAATAAAAATATGAAAACATTACCAGCTTTGAACCTCATGAAATTTATTTCAAATAAATACTTAAATTTTTACTCATAACTCAGTTATCTAAGAAATAATTCAGCTATATGTGAGTACTAACAACTATAACAATAACGAGAAAGTAAGCTAGGTTCTCAGTTCACTGTTACTTAGATACCATCGTGTGAACGACCTATAATACACACATAAAAATTAATCCGTTATGTTGTCCCAATAGAAACACAATTTCCACACGTATCACTAATACGCCTTTATGCCAGAAGCAATGAATCGTTATTCAGACAAAGTCTCACCGATTTCTTCGAGTGCAGGGAGGCACATAATAAACAAATAAAAATTAATTTGTCATGTTGTCCAAATATAATCCCACTTTCCACACGTATCACTAATACGCCTTTATGCCAGGAGCACTGCGTCATTATTTAGACAATAATGTCTAAATAATGATGCATTTAGACCTAAAAAATGATGCATTTGATGAATGATGTTGTCTAAATAATCGCATAAATCATAATCATCATAGAGATCATCGTCTAAAATGATGATGATGTCTAAATAATGATGCATTATTTAGGCATTTTTTCTTAATAATGTCTATATAATGCATCATTATACATTAATTACTCACCGATTTCTTCGAGTGCCTGATGTCCATACTCCATATAAGCATCAGCAGCAATGCATCGTTATTCAGACAAAGTCTCACCCATTTCTCCGAGTGCCTGATGTCACTACTCCATATAATCACCAGCGCAATGCATCGTTATTCAGACAAAGTCTCACCCATTTCTCCGACTGCAGAGTATCACTACTCCATATAAGCACCAGCAGCGAGCAGTACGTCCTCCTCGGTGGTGCGTCGCTTATAAGGTGCGTGCGTCGTGAGGTGCACCACGAGGCCTGCGAACAGCACCAGCAGCACACCCACGCAGTTCACCAGCACCCCCTCTACTGGCAGCTGTGAGTACGTCTTCGGCCTGACGAGCATGATGACGTTAGGATGATAATCGTGACGACGTTAGGGTGACAGAGCATGATGACGTTAGGATGATAATCGTGACGACGTTAGGGTGACAAGCATGACGTTAGGGTGGTAATTATGACGACATGACGACGTTAGGGTGACAAGAATGACGACGTTAGGGTGACAATCTTAAAGCGACAATCATGACGATGTTAGGGTGGCAATCATGACGGCGTTAAAGTGACAAGCATGATTAGGTTGGGGCGTGAGTCACCAATGAATTCACATAGGTCTGCAACTTATTCAGAGAAAATTATTCATAGAAATTTAATCTTAGTCAGACACTATGACGACCAATCCAACTAGTATCTAATGAAAAAATGTCTTGATTCAACACACATGACATCGAAGGATTTTATCATAGAAACTTAATCTCAGTTAGAAACTTTATGACCAATTGAACTGTTATATATTAGAAAAAAGATTTATTAACGTGTTGCACATGGCAACGAAGGGTTTTTATCATAAAAACTAAATCTCAGAAACTTTAAGATCAATTAAACTGATATAAAATAGAAAAAAAATTATTAACATGACGCACCAACGAAGGGTTACGTATATCATAGAAACTTAGTCTCAGTTAGGAGCTTTAAGACCAATTTAACTGTTATAAAATATAAAAATATTTTAACTACATCAGAGAAACTTTAAGATCAAATTAACTGATATAAAATAGAAAAAAACATTTATTAAAGTGATGCACATGGCAACGAAGGATTTTACCATAGAAACTTAATCTCAGTTAGTAACTTTAAAACCAATTAAACTGGTATAAAATAGGTATAACTGGATCACTGGTATACCTGGATAGGTATACCTGGATCACTGGTATAGCTGGATCACTGGTATACCTGGATAGGTATACCTGGATCACTGGTATAGCTGGATCACTGGTACAACTGGATCAATTAAACTGGTATAGAAAAACACGTATTAATGCGACGCACATGGCAAAGAAGGCTTTCTCAGAGATGCCCAGGAGGCTGGTGACGACAGCGCCCAGGAAGATGAGGAGACCAAAGTACTGGTGCAGGGGCAGGTACCAGTCCTTGAGACTCTGCCGCAGTCCCGGGTACAGGAAGCTTACCAGCCCGAACACCCACTGCACCGAGGATACAATTTGAGGGGGTGATATAAGAAAAATATAACTGCACCGAGGATACAATTTAGGGGAGGTGATATATGGAAAATATAACTCAGTATACCTAACTCGGTACTCACTGCAGTGAGTGACATAGAGCGCATTTTATCGTCGACGAAAACGTGAAGTCACGAACAGACAAAGCTTACCAGTCCGAACACCCACTGCATTAAGGATGTAATTTGATGGATAATATAAGAAAAATGTAACTCAGTACTCACTGCAGTGAGTGACAGAGAGCGCATTTTCTCGTCGACGAAAACTTGAGGTCACGGACGGACGGACGGACGGACGGACTCCAGGAGGCTGGTGACGACAGCGCCCAGGAAGATGAGGAGACCAAAGTACTGGTGCAGGGGCAGGTACCAGTCCTTGAGACTCTGCCGCAGTCCCTTACCAGCCCGAACACCCACTGCATTAAGGATACAATTTGAGGTGTAATATAACCCACTGCATTAAGGATGTAATTTGAGGGAGGTGATATAAGAAAAATATAACTCAGTACTCACTGCAGTGAGTGACAGAGAGCGCATTTTCTCGTCGACGAAAACATGAAGTCACGGACGGACAAAGCTTACCAGTCCGAACACCCACTGCATTAAGGATGTAATTTAGGGGAGGTGATAAAAGATAAATATAACTCAGTATACCTAACTCAGTACTCACTGCAGTGAGTGACAGAGAGCACATTTTCTCGTCGACGAAAACATGAAGTCACGAACGGACAAAGCTTACCAGTCCGAACACCCACTGAACCGAGGATACAATTTGAGGTGTAATATAACCCACTGCATTAAGGATGTAATTTGAGGGGTAATATAAAAAAATGTAACTCAGTACTCACTGCAATGAGTGACAGAGAGCGCATTTTCTCGTCGACGAAAACGTGTAGTCACGGACGGACAGACAGACGGGCGGACGGACGGACGGAAGGACATGACGAGCACAATAGTGCATTTTTTCCATAAATGAGAGAATGCGCTAACAAGTGCACATATCATATTGGATCTCATAATATGAAACAATAACGTCCTTTTGTAATTAGCTGATATTTTCGAAGTTTTCAAGTTACAAAGCTGGATGGATTTTGAGTATATGAGCCACTCTTCCAAAAATTCCACTCTAAACCTTTCAAAGGTATAAAATCACAATAAGAAATATAAGTAGCAATAACTGTAAATATAGTGCCCGGTGGATATCTTGACAAAACGAATATCTTGAGAAGCAACAATAATAAGATCATTAAAATTCTAGCAACTCGGAAAATCTCAGGAAAATAAAAGAAAGGGACCTGAAAAAGTATCCATTCCATGGATACTTTACATTAATATAGGCATTAATGCCAAAACTTTCAAATATATAAAATCACAACAAGAAATAAAAGTGGCAATAACTTTAAATATACCCAATGCATGGATATCTTGAGAAGTAATAATAATAATAAATTAATGAAATTTCTACTAACACGGAAACTTTGAAGAAAATATGAGATAACAATAATAATAAATTCATGTAAGTTCTAGTAACACGGAAACTCTCAAGAAAATAAAATAAATAAGAAAATCAAGATAATAAAATAAATAAGAAAATCAAGAAAATAAAATAAATAAGAAAATCAAGAAAATAAGAAAATAAAGAAAATAAAAGAAAAGGACCTGGAGGGCGAAGAGGATGAGCACGACGAGCCCCATCCATGAGTGCAGGGAGTAGAAGTTGGGGATTGGGGCGGGGTTGCCGTCGGGGTCGCTGTGCAGGTTGATTTGGGAAATGTAAAGACGTTTTATTTATAAGACAAGCAGGTATTAAGACGTCTTTATATCATAAATACGTGCAAGTTTTTCCGTTATTTTTAAATTCTGAAACTCTACACACCAGCTTTACGGGAACATGTTGAGTTAGGGTAAGTAATCCTAATCCACTAGAAAAATAAGAACGGGAACATGTTGAGTTAGGACAAGTGGTAATCCTAATCCACGTGAAAAATAAAAGAGGATGCAAGTTACACGGAAAGAAAAATACAGCGTACTGATAAGAAAGATTTATTCTAATACCAAGGCACAAGATGGATGATAGGGCCTACCGTTCGCTGATAAGAAGACCAAGCCTGTGACCATGAGTACTGGGTGCCAGTTGAACTCCACGCCTGGGGTACTGCGCCATGTGAAGCCTCCATGGTACACTGCCAACCATACCACCACCAGCAGGACAACCAGTATGCCTGGTAGGTGTACGGGCAAACTAATACTACCATATACAAGCTGGTAGCAATACGTACAAGCTGGTATCAATACGTAAAAGCTGGTACTAATACGTACAAGCTGGTACCGCTATGCACAAGCTGGTAGTAGGAATAAGCGTTCTATTTTTAACAAGTAATTCTAGCCTATGTAAATAATGGTAGCATACGAAGTAAAGTATTTGGATTTAATTTATTAAAAAAAATATAAGTACCAAGTTATCAGAGTCGGTAATTAATAGCTGACGGCCATTCAACATACTAAAATGATTTAAATACATCAGGTATGGCACTAATGTGTAAAATACTCATATACCATGAATATAAAATTAAAGCTTGATTTGAAGTTCGGTGAAGCTTTACAACAATCGTGAGTACGACTGAAAACTTTCAGAAATCTACGAAGTTCTTGACAACAAGCTTGTAAATACTGCACTAAACAACGCGGAGTTAAATACACAAGGCCGTTATCGCATGTAGACTTTGGTTACGGTGAAAGAATCTTGGTCAGAAGGCATCATTAACAAATAATATTAATAACAATATCAATAATGCTACAAGTGAACGTACAGAAGTAGTGACTAGGCCGTTATCGCATGAAGAGTTAGGCTACGATGAAAGAATCTGGGTCAGAAGGCATCATTAATAATAATACTAATAACAATATCAATAATGCTGTAAGTAAACGTACACAGAATGGCAGTGATCCACTCACCGACTATTTGCGTGAAGACGTAAACTTTTCTGAAGGTTCTGATGCTCGCCGCGTCGTTCTCCATCCTTGTTACCCTGCCTGCCAACGACCCTTCCTCGTCTTTAGCCTCCCACGTGCGTCTGCCACAAATAAAACAATATACTGAAACATAGGACAACAGTTGAGCAAAAATACTCATAGTATCCAAATAATTACAAATAACGACTTTTGTTCCATTAGCCCGGGCAGCTAACGGCCGTAGTACCCCCTTTTGTCGGGCCTTGAAACTCTACACACTAGCTTTACGGGAACATGTTGAGTAAGCGCACGCAATCCTAATCCTTTAGAAAAACAAACCTAATTTGGGGATTGTAAAGACGTCTTATTTATAAGACAAGCAAGTACTAAGACGTCTTTATATCATAAAGACGTGCAAGTTTTTTCGTTATATTCAAATTTTGAAACTCTACACACTAGCTTTACGGGAACATGTTGAGTTAGGGCAAGCAATCCTAATCCTTTAGAAAAATAAGAACGGGAACATGTTGAGTTAGGACAAGTGGTAATCCTAATCCACGTGAAAAACAAACCTAATTTGGGGGAAGTAAAGACGTCTTATTTATAAGACAAGCAAGTATTAAGACGTCTTTCCAGGCATGTTGCACTAGCGCTGCAGCAACACCAGTTGCCTAACACAGCTTAGGTGCAACACATTATGGAGCTGTTGACAGGCAACACTAACCGCCTCTGCTTAGTGTCACTGTCACCACCGCAACAGCTGCCATAACCTTAACTTGGCACTCACCACACCTTTAAAACTGAGCCCAGTGGCCAGGTGGCTATTGACACGAGAAAACAGTCAAGTTGGAGAAACAAAAATATTGTCTTGCCGGATAACGAATTACCAAGATTCGAACATTCTTAGAAAATCAAAAAAAAAGTTTATTGAAGTAAAAAAACTCTATGAAAATACTGTGTTAAGTATGCAGGGTTTCAATTGAATTTTAATTGCAATCAATGCATACAAAAATTGCACTGACCTTACTTTAATTCTCAGTTGTTAATGAACAATAATTGTTTCTGCATGCTAGTGAATTCAGTTTAAATTATGTCATCATTGACTTCATTAAATAATGATAGTAGGTCACACAAATGATTCTGATCTGCTTGATCAAAGTAACTTGCAAATTTTTCATCAGTTACAGCAACAAAACTCTTAAAACTTTTTTGCAAATATAGATAATAAAATAATATAAAAATCATCACATTTATACAAGTTGACTTGATTCATCTGCAACTATCCTCTTGCACCCAAAAATTGACCCTCTAGGCAAATAATTTTGGAACATTGATTGCAAAAATTTTTTACCAAGCTTTAATCCCTGTTGTTTTAATGATATGCCTGGTGACCGTGAGAAGACACATTGAACACTCACACTTTCGAGGTCAACTGCACACAACAGCAGCAAAGTAGGCAGAGGCAAGGACCATGTCCTACACCAACTTTTTACCTGAGGAATATAAAACTTAATATTAAATCCAGGAAATTATTAAGCAACTTCAGTTCATTTTAGTTAAATAATACCATTTAGACTTGAAATTGTTATACGTAGTGTCTTTGAAAGTAAACTGGGGTGACTTGGACCATTGGGTATAGGTGTGACTTGCACCGTTTGGACAGTTATTAGATGAAAACCTTATATATAGGTACCATCAAGTGGGGTGACTTCAGCCACCAGGGATGACTTTGGCCACACCGACAACAAAAACATATGGCAGCAAAACAAAATAATAAACGTTGACCAAAGTCACCCCGGAGTCACCCAGTCACTTTGGCCAACTTTTATTATTTTGTTTTGCTGCCATATGTTTCTGTTGTAGTGGTGGCCAAAGTCACCCCACTTGATGGTACTCAAAAAGTGTTTTGGCCTTAGAAGAATCTGACATCAAAATTTTGCTACATATATGTAATTATAACTAGAACACTTAAATAACTCAGTACTCACTGCAGTGAGTGACAGAGAGCGCATTTTCTCGTCGACGAAAACTTGAAGTCACGGACGGACAGACGGACGGACGGACGGACATGGCGAGCACAATAGTGCATTTTTTCCAATAATGAGAAAATGCGCTAAAAAGTGTATCGCGATTTGAAATAAGTCTTAATTATGTCTTTAAGTACAGGCATATCGTGGGACACGTTACTAGCAAAACAACTTGAAGTTCATAAAACTTGAACGAAAAAGGGGACAACTTCTACTTCTAACTTTCGACCTCACGGGATAAAAGCTCCCCTGAAATCCAGCAGTGGACCATATGGCGGCTGCGTGAAATCCAGCAGTGGACCATATGGCGGCTGCGTGAAATCCAGCAGTGGACCATATGGCGGCTGCGGCACTGGCACAGTAATTCACTTAGCGAGGAGGTCAGAGCAATCAATCCACTCTTTGCAGTGCCTCCCTCATCTCATCCCCTCCTGCCTCACCCGACCTGAGAATATCCCAGGATTTCCTTCCCTTATCTTTTATAAAAGAGGCTCCTAACGCTGCGTAAATGTCGAGGCGACCTGAGAATATCCCAAGATTTCCTTCCCTTATCTTTTCTAAAAGAGGCTCCAAACGCAGCGTAAATGTCGAGGGCCTATACTTTAAAAATTCGCTAAGTGAACGTAAGTATATACGCTCTATTTTCTTGTCTATGATTGGTGGATTTTGCTTGAAAGGCCGTCAATGATTGGCTGATGAACTTACGATCTCTTAACTTTTTTGAAAGTATAGGCCCCTGGTGAATAATGTCCTGGCTGGCAGAACTTAGAGCTCGAAATAAATACTTATCGAGAAAATACTTATCGAGAAATACTTATCTATTGAAAGAAAACGTGTACGAATTACATAGTACATTTCCTCAGTATTCTGATGAGAATGATATTTTTCATATTTTTTTGTGGTATACTTTTTTGCGACAAAATATTAGTGACATCAAATAACACATCGGCAATATTTTCATTTGGGTTTCTTTCTTTGAAGCCATGAGCGTTGGAAGCCAAAGCAATATACTATAATTTCATAAGGCATCTCAATGACTTATAGTTTTTATGGTATAGGCAATAAAGGCAATATACTATAATTTCATAAGGCATCTCAATGCCTTATATTTATGGTATAGGCAGTAAAGGCGTGAAGAGAAAAGCGTATCAGGAACCCAAGAGGGGTTCTGTAAACGGCACTTATCGGAACGATCGTTCTCCACAGGCGGCGTAGTGGAGGTGGTATAACTTATAAATAAAGAGCTTATTGACTTTTTGCCTGTATAAAATACTAAGAAAACAATAATGATTAATACAAATTTGTATATAAATACCAAATATTTCCTGCATAACATCCAAAGAAAACAAAAATTATAAACACATGAGTTTGCACACAAAAACCAAATAAAAACCAATTTTCTTCCATGGTTGAAAAACAAAAGACGCAAAAACACAAAAAATTAAAAGACCACAACAAAGCTCGAACGAGTATTTCGATTACCATTAAATAATAACTTCAATCATATGCTAATATTTTTCAGTAAATAAAGAAACCTAATAACACTAAACAAACGCCAGAAAAAGTAGGTAAACGTATCATGCATACGAGCAACTGACCTTGGGTGGCAGGGAGAAGCTAGCATTGCGTGGCAGTTTTTTCTCTATTTTATAAAGTAATTGTATTTTATTTTATAAAGTATAATTGCAAAGTACAATTAAAGTATAAAGTATAATTACGTGTTCGCTCGTCGCCCGGATACGTAAATTGCTTACATAGTAACACTCTGCGCAAAAACTTCTATAATTAATACATTCATGAATAAACGGGTTCAACAGATAATGTTTTAGTGAACAGGATTTAATAACACATAGCTCGCCACAATAACTTTAAACAAACAATAAAGACAGTTAATCCATCAAGTATATTTTTGAAGAAACTTCCTAAAATTTCGTGGCTGATATTGATAGTTTTAAATTATCTTTATAATTTCTATTATGGTTAAGACTTAAAAATTAATTTAGGAAGCCCTAAGGGAAGGCAAGGCATCGNAGCGAGTAAGTACTGTCTCTTATACACATGATGAAAAGATTGACGAAATAAAATCTACTTAGACTAATATTGGCTGACAATCTCTTACGGATTGCCAACTTTCGCTGACAGATATAAAGATTGACGAAATAAAAATGTGCTAGATGAATCTTGGCTGACAATCTCTTACGGATTGCAAACTTTCGCTGGCAGATATAAAGATTGACGAAATAAAATCTACTTAGACTAATATTGGCTGACAATCTCTTACGGATTGCCAACTTTTGCTGGCAGATATAAAGATTGACGAAATGAAATCTACTTAGACTAATCTTGGCTTACAATCTCTTACGGATTGCCAACTTTTGCTGGCAGATGAAAAGATTGACGAAATAAAATCTACTTAGACTAATATTGGCTGACAATCTCTTACGGATTGCAAACTTTTGCCGGCAGATGAAAAGATTGACGAAATTAAATCTACTTACAATCAGATGGTCATATCGCATCGCAGAGCAGGAACGAGCCATCAGGAATGGTGGGAATTTAATACCGCGGATTCCAGTCGACCAGAAATTCAGGGAAAGTTTGAGATGAGGGAAGAAATTTTCAGCGCTTCGATCGTGACCTCTAGTCAGTCAAGATATTAAAATTAGGATAAAAATTAGGATGGAAGAAATCCGTGAAATCCAGTAAGGTATAACTTTCAAAAGGGATAGCGGAAAATACTTCATAATAGTGATTAATATGTTATTAATCACTATTATGAAGTATATTAATAATATTATAAAATATTATAAATATTATAAAATTATTTTTTATTAATATTATAAAATACTTCATAATAGTGATAATAGTGATTACAATGTTATTCCTAATCAACAAATACAAATAAAAGTTATTGCATAAGAATCATTAGTAGAGACGGTTCTTTATGATTTCTGAATACTCTTACGCTCATTCAGCCTGCTGCTTCACCCCACGAGCCACCATATGGCAAGCTCGAGCACATCAACCCTTTCAACTATTCAATGAATATCATTTAAAATATTCAATACTCACGAGACAGAATAAAATCTTGCACAGATTAACTTGATATCCAAACAAACAGTTCTTCTTCTCTCCTAAACGTTATATTATTATTGAGAGCGCCAGGCACGGTCTTCGTAGCTTGCACTGCACAACAACACTAACATCACCACCCGTTCTCTAAGCTCTCCACCCACGCACAATAACAGCATTTTGTTGACGCTCATAAAAAATTTCTGGAACTTTTCCGATAGATGACCACGAGTGCTGCAGCCACATTTAGAATGAAAAGTAAAACTATTAGAATACTAGACATAAACGAGATATATAAAACTTCAGTATATCCTTGAAAGCCTAAGCGCCAATGTCGTGCACCACGGAGTTATCAGTCAGTATTTTGAATAAGCCAGTAAGAATAAAGCCCGCGAATTGCTGAAGCCAATCATACACCTGCCGACTTGGCTCGTGTATCGATCTAACCCGCGTTATGTGTAGGAAGGAAGAAAAGAGAAAGCGCGATACTCTGCATCAGTGAAGAGAGAAAGCACTTCTGTGAACAAATATAACATTCAAGATGAAGCAAAATGTTTTTCATATGATAACTTTGGGTACTTAGATTTAAAACAGATGAATAAATAAGGAATTTAAAAAATTAACTTGATAGGGTAAACATAGGATAGCGCTGACGCATCGGAGAAAAATTTGAGCGTAATATAACTATAAGAACATGAATTTGCGAGAATAGTATTGTTAAATACTGAAACAATTCTGTCATTAATTAAGTCAAAAAATCAAGACAATTTTTATCAACAAAAAGTCTCCCAAAGAAATAATTCTCTATGTGCCAGAAACATCAGCGAAAACGACGGCAGTTTGATTTTAGACGGAAACTAAAGAAAGTCACCCGAGAGAAATAACGCAGCACTTGTTGACCGTTGCAACAAATCTACGAACATTAAGCGTAATCACTTAAAATTGTATTCAATTCTTAGCTTATCTGAGCAAACAAATTATTTTCCTCTCTATTCCTCATATTTAAAATAGTTACAAAAGTTTGAGTAGTACGGCAAGGGATGAGAATTTTAGTTTAGATATAAGAATTGAATAAACGATGTGATCAATGTACTTGGAGGAATAAGCAATTGAAACCTTTAATTTACAATGCAAAAATAACGTTTCTTTGATAAATTTAAGAAGAATAGACATACGACAAAGTGTGAAATAAATCTAAACTATGGAAGTATTTAAGATATCGAAACTTGTCACGTAATCCATGACATTGCTCACTAAAAATGATTCAAGGCAGAAATCGTTGCGAAGGGATTCAATAGGGATTTTATGCATCCAAATTTTAGGGTCAGCAATGAAAAAATAGAAAGTTATAATGCAATGATTCATAATTCATAGCTTACTGGCATGTTGTCTTAGGCCCCGGTATTGCCCGCGGGATTTTGTTAATTTGAGATTAATTATAATAAAATAATTCTGTTTATTTGTTTATTAACATTACATTATTAACATTAACATAATTACATTGTTAACATTGTTTATTAACATTTACATAATAATTCTGTTATAAGTTTATCATTTAAATAAATAATAATTCTGTTAATTTGAGATTGAATCCGTTCATCCCAAACCCCATCATCCAGAATGTAGCATACAATTTTAAAAACAAATTAACGCTGTTAAAGACAGGTCCGTTCTTATCCACATTCAGCACGGAACTCACATTCAAGTCAGTTTAGAAATTTGAGCCTTGGATTGTCTGAATCCAATACAAGCTTACAAAATTAAAAATTTTTTTTCAATTAATTAATCTAGATTTCTACCATTTTCCAATCTCAGATGATTTCATTATTAAAAATAAAACTGCTCAGCATATATATAACAGCTCAGCACGACAAATATTACTGCCAAACTCAGGCAGCAAACGCACACAAACCTTTACAAAAAATGATTATTATGTATAATTATAAAACGGTTATGAACGAAACAAATATATCGTTCATTTCTTGCTGTCTTTTCAACACTGCAAATGACAGTCAGCAGAAGTTGTTGAATGACTCGCTTCTGTAGCTGAATCTTGGGTGGCGCAGAGCGAAAGAAAGCAATCGCTATATGTAATAAATTCCGCTGTGTACGTTGTAAATTACTGAAGTTTAGGTTATGCATTACCTAATATCTCACCAATGAGATATCTAGCACATTAAATAGTTTGATATGCGACAATTCGAAGAATAAACAAATTCACTCCCATTCAAGTAAAACTGGTACAGTCCTATGGTCAAGTTACTATACTAAATTTCAAACATGGAGGAACGATGACACAAATAACAGGCATGCGAATTAAAATGACCGAAAAATTCTAGTCTCGTTCATTGTGTTAAGTTAAAACTTATTGTCGCCACGGAACATTTACTGCGAACCACGAAATACTTGCTCGTTCTTTTTATGCTTTGGAGGATGGAGAAATAATTGAAGGGTAAATGTTATCTGGGATTAAATTATTATGCTTAAGATCCAACATGCTTATTATTATTATTATTATTATGCTTAAGGTAACATGTATTGATGTATTGTGGCTTCGCTTGGACAACATTTTTATGGTCACGCAATGTAAGCGCCACCTAGTAGCGGTATTGCAGTATATTCACAGCTAGCCACGGATCGAACCTACGACTCGCTGCTCCAACCTTTTTGCTTTCGACCATTTGATACTCGAAAGACGTAAATTGCTAACAGAAATTAAACGTGATTAAATTTCTAATAATCATGCAGATTTAACGATGAGTACTATTTAACCGAGTTCTATGGGAAGTAATATGAAATTTTTTAACAGGTTGACAACATGTATGGTATACAACAGTACCAGAATCCAATTTCTAACTACGCCGCTTCTTGTAGTAATAAGTGTTTGGATGACAACATGTATGGTATACAACAGTACCATGCAGAATCCAATTTCTAACTACGGCACTTCTAATATTAAGTGCTTGGATAGGTTGATCTCATTACACCATAAAAGGCTGTGTATCGTAAAATTTACGACCGCGGATGATGTGAACACATTTGTTCCTGCAAAGATAAGCGAATTTCTGTAGGACTGACAAATGATAATATGTGAGCTTCAATCAGAAAATTGGCGACTGGAAAACTCAAGCTAACGCTGCAATTCATATGAATAAGAATATATAACGAAATAACTAACACCTTCATTATTCTTGTAACAACTATGCTCCGATCGTTTTTGATTGATTAATTGTGCGCACGAGCATTCCTAACAACTCATGACGATGGGATTATTTGATATAATATAACTAAAATATATAAATTATATATTATACATTACAAGTTCACTATTTTTCTTGTCACCATTCTGGGATTGCGTTTGATTGTGCGCCAGTCTAACGACTCATGACGCGGAGGGACCGCGCTAAATAAGGGCAGCAGGTGCAGCAGCGCCCCTGCACGACGCGGCCAATTTTCCCAATTTTCCACAATCGCCACAAAAGCGCGTCGCTGCCACGTGTTCATTAGCATAAGCATGACACGCCGCCACATATATCAAACACTGCTAATATTCCATGCTGAAATTCTTGTATTAAATGCAGGCAGTT